AAGCAAGAGGGACATGCTTTCTCAATTCTTCTAGTTGCAGAATCTGTAAAGACCAAGTTGATCAATTGTTGAAACAATTACTAGTATAATGGTTAGTAGTTAAGGTAGTGGAGTTATGTTAACAATGAACAGGGAGTTGTTGTTTTTCTTTCCTCTCTCATGGCTACTCCCAGACCCTAAACAGGTTTTTCTTTTTATGATCCTTTTTTTTTTTTTTTTTTTTTTTAATTGTTGACATTGTTACAGATGTCCTCCACTTCCCCTCCCTTTGCCCACCTCACTCGGTTCCTCCCCTGGCCTTCCCCACACTGTTTTCTGTACCCATGGGCTATGCATGTGTAAGTGCAGGAATGTTTTGGACGTTAGTAGTATAATATTGGTAAATAGGAAAGCCGTTATCATACTTCTCACGCTGTAAATATAATCTGACTCTTGGCTTTGTGAATATTTGTACTCTCAGGACCTGCCATAAATACACCTGAATAATTGATTCCTTTTTGTTCCGAAAGTGTTTTTCCAATATCACATTATGGCGATAAAAAGGAAAGCCTATAGCAATATTCTTGACCTCAGTAATTTGTTGGGAAGTTAACATTTATATGTGAAATTATATTTTGGTTGCTCTCCAGTAATCTCGTGGTCCAGATGGTCAGGAAGGGGAAAGATTATTACTAGTGAATGCAGCCAGGAAAGTTTTGTGCAGGTGGCAAGAATGTGGATAGCTAACATAATTTTCCATAGCTAACATAATATTCCTTTCAGAGTATTTTATGAAGACCAGAATAAGGGTTTTATGTTTCTCATAGAGCAAACAGGCTGTGGAAATATATTGTTAATTTCATGAATTCATGTAACGACCATCTATTGCAAGCCCATTGTGTTTTAAGTATTGTTTTGGGAATATTGTTCTCATGAAATCAAGCTCTTGTAATGCCACTTATATTTGCAGGATCAGCTGTTAATATTTGAAGTTAGTGTGGACCTCCAAAATCAGACAATGAAATGGTTATTTATGTAAATATTAATATTGATAAATAAAATATGGAGTATCACAAATAGTAGCTTATAAAAGAAAGTACTTGGGTATTAGGAATTTGCATGTAATAAATGTTTTATGAATTTGCTTAAGTAAAGTTTTAGAAGAAATGGCCCAAGCAGTCACAGCATCAATAGCTGTTTGTATATGGCACCGGGATGGGTGCTGAGAGGGTCATTTTGTATGTATTTTCTGCCCAAGTTCTGGTGAGAATAGACTCCCTCTGGTTTTCATAGTCTTCAGGGCATTTGTGGGTCTCTGACACCAGAGATTCTAATATTGGCTTCATTATGTTAGAAGTTCCTGCTACTTGGAGGGTGGAGCAGGCAGGGAGGGGAATGCCTGTTCTTCAGCCCTTAATCCTAAAACCCACATTGAATCATTTTATATCTGCTTCACCGCACTGTTAATTACTATTTTCTTTCTGTTACCCTGTGCTTAGTAAACTATTAATGCAGTACTTTAACATCATTATAAATGAAAAAGATTAGGAGGAAACATTAATATGGGTTTTAAAAGTTAGTAGGCCATTGTCACTAATTCATGAAATATTTACTGTTTCTTTATTTATTATTATTATTATTATTATTATTTTATTTATTTATTTTTTAGAACAAATGACAAACACGAGTAGTATCTTCATTTAGACCCAGGAACATACACTTTCATGGAACTGAGACTTCAAATACACTTTTAATATTTAGAGAGAACAATCTTTTTTTCCAAGTAATTTTCCTGAAAAAATAGAGAGAACAAAACTTGTTAATTTGGGGGACACTCACAAAATTGCTGGAAGGAGACTAGTTTATGTTGTGAGGAAGCAGACTTGATTGCTTTTGCATGTCAACATTTTTCTCCTTCGACATTGCCATTATAATCAACTTCTAGGTACCGAGTCTATAAATCGTATTAATATTGGAAACAGACCAGAATCAAATAAAGCTGAAGTATCAATTTTTGGACAAAGAAGTTCAACAGTGCAATGAGAACCCGAGCTTCCTTAGTTGTAATCAAAATCAGATTTAAGGCAACTTCACAGTTTACTCAGAGTAATTATTACCTGGGGAAGCCTGTGGGCTTTCGGACTCTCCACCACTTAATTCCCCATAAAGACCATTTTGAACTTTTAGTCATTTCTCCCATTTCCGTAACGATCATAAGTATCTTGCTACTTCTTTATTTTTTTGGTATTGATGATTTTTTTTTTCAGAGAGAGGGGAAGAGAGAGAGAGAGAGAGAGAGAGAGAGAGAGAGAGAGAGAGAGAGAGAGAGAGAGAGAGAGAGAAGAGAGAGAGAGAGATTTGCTTTCTACTTATTTATGCATTCTTTGGTTGTCTCTTATATGTGATCTGCAGATCCTCTCTTGGCCTTTTGTACAACTATTGTCCTGGACTATACAGCTGTGTTGTCTTGAGAATTCCATTTGCTTCTTTTCTGTATCGGACTTAGTATCTTTAGATTCCATAACCTTTTCTCTTGGCCCATGCTTTATTAGAGTATGTCATCCATACTCTAACAAAGCATTAATTATTGCCAATAAAAGGAAGCATGTGCTGGTAAGGGTTTCCTTTCCTTAAGTAGTTTGTGAGGAACTGAGAGAAATGTGGGATTAAAGTGTTTCTTTACTTTCAACTATCTATCTGTATCTCCTCTTGTTTTCTCACATTCAAGAGTACCAGCTGCCTCCAGTTCCTGTAGCCCAAACCGACTTAACTCTTAGATTCTTTTCCCCTAGGCATGTAATTGTTGTCTTCTCTCACCCAAAGTTTGGTTGAGATTTCTTTCAGACTCACCAAAAGAGATCTTCAGCAGCAGTAGATAGCTGCCAGAATGATGATGGAATGCTTTCTTTACCCATAGATGCCAATAGAACAAAAATAGAATATGTTATTATGCCCTCCAGTTAAAATCCATATATTTGAAAAATGTTTTCATTTTACTGTTTTCAAAACTGGGTTACATTGGTAGAGTTATTTTTGCAGAAATTAAAACTTTTAAAAAAGTAATCATTACTCTAAGGTCACTAATATGTTTAAAAGAGTGATCTGATTCCCAGGTAATCCTTTGATTTCTATTTTGGTAACTGAATAAAACCTGCTGTGAAATAATGGGTAGGGACAGCATGTCAAACCAGCTTAGTTTACTGTAAACCTAGCATTTCTGAAAAGAAGAAGAAGAAAAAAATCCTAGATTGGACTTTTAAAATTATTATTATTATTTTTAAATGTATTTGGGTGTTCCTACATTGGCTGAATATATGTTTACCAGAGTTATATCCTCTTTGTGGTATTGATCCCTTTAGTATTATGAAGTGGCCTGCCTATCTCTTGTATGGCCTTCACTTTGAGGTTTCTTTCGTCAGATATAAGTATTGCTCTCCCAGATTTTTATTCATTTCCATTTGCCTAAAAATTATTTTCCCATCCCTTCACTTTTAATCTGTGTGAGTCCTTGTTCTGAGGTAGGTGTCTTGTAGACAGTATATATATATATATATATATATATATATATATATATATATATGACACATTTTCTTATCGATTCAGCCATTTGATGTCTTTTGATTGGAGCATTTAGTCCATTTACATTTAAGGTTACATTTAAAGTTACCCTGCAGGCCAGGCCCCTGTGCCAACTGCCTTCCCCTGAAGGCCTGGTCACCTCTAATTGCCCTCCCCTGCAGGCCTGGTCCCTCCCAAGGTGCCCTCCCTTGCAGGCCTGGTCCCTCCCAGCTACCCTCTCCTGCTGGCCTGATCATCTCCAAATGCCCTCCCTTGTAGGCCTGGTCCCTCCCAACTATCCTCTCCTGCTGGCCATCTTGTGGCAGCCATCTTGTGTCCACACGGGAGCAACCATCTTGTGTGTTGAAGTGACAGTCAATTTGCATATTACTCTTTTATTGGTTAGAATAAGGTATAAAAATTGATATGAATAAATTACTTCTCACAATTGCCATTTGGAACTATGCATTTTAAAAGAATAGGCTACTGTAAGTTCCTATTTATTTACTTTTGGTTTATTTATTTTTTTTAAGTTTCTGAATACTTGTTTTTTTCCCCAGTTTAGGGCACTATAGATCCTATAATTTTCTAAAGCAATGCATGCAAACAGGTCACATGGGGATTTTAATAAAGTGCAGATTCTGCGGTTGTGCCTGAGAGTCTGTATTTTTAATAAATTCCCAAATGCTGATGCTGGTGGTCATTTCACAACACTGACTAGCAAAGGTTTAAAATATTGTAGATATAGCTAAAATCAGTTTGGCTTAGCGGATAGAGCTTTGGCCTGCGGACTGGAAGGTCCCAGGTTCGATTCTGGTCAAGGGCATGTACCTTGGTTGCAGGCACATCCCCAGTAGGGTGTGTGCTAGAGGCAGCTGATCAATGATTCTCTTTCATCAATGTTTCTAACTTTCTATCCCTCTCTCTTCCTCTCTGTAAAAAATCAATAACATATATTTTAAAAATAAAACAAAATATTGTAGATATTGGAAGAATACAAAATTTATTGAACTTCTAGAAAGATGCAATGGGAGCCCTTGTATTACTGGCTGCTACTAAGTCATCTAAATAGTACTGGATTTATTGCTTCTTATAGATTTAATATGCTTTTCATTATTTTTAATATTCTGTTTAGAGGTGATTCCAGGACTATATTTCTATTTATTAATGTGAGAGTTTTATATATTAAGTATATAAACTATATTCCCCTAGTGTCTTTAAAGAAAAAAAAATATTGTACTTGCTATGTGCTTAACTTCGATTTGTGGCATACAAATACCCTATCTATAGCTGCTATTCATTGAGATTCTATTGTATATACTGTGTTATCGTTATAAAACCATAAAACCATACAATAAATATAAATTTATAACTAGTTTCATTATAATGTTTGTTCCTGTACAGTTAGATATTAGCAATGAAAAGAGGTTAATACTTCTTTTTAAAATTTGTCTTCTCAATAGCTCAGTCGCTAAAAGAATTTGCAAGACTACTCATCACAGTAGAAGAAGAAAGGAGACGACTGGTAAGTCTGTTACTCATTTCTTAAGAATAATGCTTTGTTTGGATTTTTAAAAAAAAGTAGATCTTTTTAATTAGGGTTAACCATAGCAGACCTTATAATACGATGTGTGTACTAAAAGTTAAAGAAAAAAGTTGTATGATGATCAAATGTTGCTAATAAGCTATTTCTACTTATTTCAACATATGTATATTTTGAACATATGTATATTTCAACATATGTATATTTCTACTTATTTCAACATATGTATATTTTGCTTGCCAGTTAATTTTCCTAATAATTAAAAATATTGAACCAACTGCCATTATGAAATCTATTCTAATTGAACAAATTTCTACATAACCTTAGTGTTATAATAAAGACACATTACTAGTATGAAAGGCAATTCATGAATTGGGTATTGAAGGCTGGGATGATTTTGCTGGGCTGGGAAAAAAAGGGAATGCATTCCAGGTTGATGGATTAATTTATGTGGCAGTATCAATGCTTGGTTATTAGTAATATGTTCATCTGTTTACAAGTATAATTCATATCCATTGTGTTCAAATTTCTGTGAAGGCCCATCTATGACCCAGTCTTTCTATATGTGTATGGAAAAAATAGTATGATTTACCCCAAGGATTGTTGTAAAGTAATACCTGGCATGTAATAAATATTAATGGTGCTGAAGATGTTGATTGTCAGTTACAGTGAGGGCTACACACTTTTTTAAGACATCACCTTTGATATCACTGTACTTCAGCATCTTGTTGTGGAATTCCAGGTAAACATAAGTAAACTCAAATGTGCACTAAATGTGCTAGAAATGCACATAGTTTGGTGTCATTTGCTAAATGGATAAGGAAGAGCAATGGCTAGAAATTTTTGAATAATAAATCAGAAGACCAGTATGGAATTTAGGAGAGATAAATTTGGTGGCCATGCTGACAAAGACATGAGGTGTGGAAGAACTATCAGGGAAAAGGGGTAACCATATTTTCTTAGAAAACATCAGCTTGCGTCTGATCTAAGTATCAGAGAAAGAGCCATACAGTGTGATCTGGACTACAAGTGGAGGTGACTTTGATTGGAGTCATGAGGCTAACTAGGATACCTTTATGTACTTTATACATAATCCTTACTCCAGCTGTCTGTGGTTACGTAATAGAAATCAAATTTCCGTGGGGAGTTGGGGGTAGTGAGTGCACTATGACCCAAAAGAACAGATGCTGATGGAAACAGGGAAAGAATGGTTAGAGATATGTGTAAATAAAGAGTTGAAAATGGCATGGAAGCCAGGGGAATATTCAGTTCTGGGTGAGTGAGGTTGTGAATTAGATCTTGTACAAGTAATGCAGAAGAGCGATAAACCAACTAGCACGAGCTATCATTTTAGAAAATGTATTAGTTGAAGATTGTGAGAAAGTGTATTGTAGTTTGCATTGGAGAAAAGAGCCAAGGGAATGTTCTTATAGCATTGAGGAGACCTAGAGGCACCCGGGGAAGTCTCTTCCTCTGAGAGGGGAGAAAAGGAAGAGAGGATTGGTTGAAAAGGAGACCTTCCGACAGTTGTTTGGGCAGATGGAAAAGAGTGCTAGGAAGGAGTGGTCATTTGCTCTGAGAGGAATTTGTAGAAATAGTTTAGAACAGTCTCTGTCTCTCTCCCTCTCCTTTTCTTTCCCTCTAAAAATCAATCAAATATATTTTTGGGGAAAAAAGAAAGCAGAGAGGACAAGTATTACTAGTTATTAATGCTGAAGTTTCACTATTGACAGAGGAGAAGATTTTGAGAGAGGACAAGGAAGTTATCAGGAGTAGGAGTTGAAACATACTGAACTTGGAAATGGAGCTGATCTAGATAATGAAGTTAAGATGTAGCTGAGTGGGAAGTCAGACCTCTGAGCTCAGAGATTTGGATGTTTTATGTGCAGGATCTTGAGACATCCAATATGATGACCAATATGATCACAGGATAAAAGACAAAGACTGAAGAGGGAGAAATGCTGAGGAATGGGGTAGACTGTCTTAGAAGTCATGGAGATGGGGATTAGATCAACTCCGGTGCTTCAGAATTCATCAGTCATCTTTCTCATGTTGGGGCAAGGAAGAAATTCTTTATTAATGAGTGAAGTCATATTGTGGTTTTTCTTGCTTTTCCTGTTGTTTCAGAGAAAGTCTGAAATAAAGAATGCAAAATAATGAGGGAAAACCTCTACAGATAAAAGCCTAATTATAGTTCCACAAAGAGTCTATTAAAGTAATCAATAACACACAAATCTAAATACTAGAGTGATTAATCAACACTTTTAGTCACATGATGTTAGTACAACTGAAGGAATAGCTGGTAGAAGATCTTGTAGAATTTGTGTTTTAAAAATTAGTGATTCCTTTTAGAAGTAGGATATTTTAAGAATATATACTAATAAGGTGTAAAGGAGTTTTGTAATTCATTACAAAGCCTATGTTTTTCAGTGTAAATCATGACTTATATGATTGAATTTGACCAAAACCTAAGTATGTAGAACAGTGACAAAACAAAAATAAAAGCTCAAGAAGATGAAAGAAGACACTTAACAGTTTAAACAAATTCTCATGTCACCAATGAATTACCATAATTAGATAAATATGTCATCTGGGTGATCTAAAAAGGCTAGTTGCCGAAAAAAGGAGACCAAAGAAAATATTGATCTTTTTAAAGAAATGGACCCTTTCAGCTTTTTATTAATTTGAGTTTCTTAAAAAAAAAAAAAAATCTGCTAAAGCCAACTAAAAATATGTAGTTGTAACACAACAAAAAAGTGAATCAGATAAAGTAATAGGAAAATAATTTGTTTCAGTTACTAACATACCAATAGAACCACCTAAGGAAGCATGAAGTCTTAGTTGAGTCTTTCTGGAAGAGGTCTCTGTTACCTCTTGTTATTTGTATTGAAATGCTGAATTTGACTTGATTGCCTCCTGGCCTTCAAACTTGACATTTTCTTTCCCTGAATTCCTGGAACCTTACTCTCTCCCCCTGTCTCCTTTCTCAGTAGTCTCCCTCTGGTTCACAGTTCTCCAGTCAAAGGGGCTTCAGTTTCTCCTCATGTGTCCCTACAAGCTTCTTTAGGACTTAGATCTTTGTATTTGTTCTGTCATCTCCTTGAACATCCTGATCATATCCTCCCATTGGCTTCATCTTATCATTCAGACTTTACCCCATAGATCACTTCTGGGGACTGCAGTTTTCCATACAGCCTAAATTAGTTCCCTTTAGCCCTCATATATTGTGACAGAAATAACTGTTCGTGCAGCTTGCATTCTCCTGGGGAGAAATAGGCATTAAACAAATTATGTCTGATGGTGGTAAGTACTAAAATGAAAAAATAATGCAGCTGGTAGATGTTGCCATTTATTGAGATGAGGAAGGAGATGGGAAAGAAATAGTTAAAAGTTTGAATCTATTTAGATGCCTCCTGGGTATCTAAGTAACTTTGCCTAGAGAGCAGCTGATTATGAGTCCAGAGAGGTCTGGGGTAGCAGATGGGCTAGAGGTATAAATTTAGAAGTTGACAACAAGTAGAGGGTATTTAAAGCTATGAGATGTATGAGATCACCCAATCTGTGAGTGTGCAGACAGAAGAGAAAATGTGGGAGAATTGAACCCTGAGGTGGTTGAGTCCAGAGTTTGATCAGATGAGGTAAAATCAACAGAGTAGATTTAGATCAGTAGGAGCATCAGGAGAACTCTGTTGGGACAGCTTGCTTAATCCCATTTATTCACTTTGTTACAGTAGGGTTGTGGAAAGATACTAACTAGACACTTATAGGATGTGGATTCAATGATTCTAGCTGTTCTTCAGGATAGAGGGTCCAAGTTATCTGACCCACTCTGTGCAACTCCTCTGTGCCTGCCTGGGGGCCTTTATTTTGTGGGTACTTTTAATCCCTAACTTTGGCGTGTGTGTGTGTGTGTGTGTGTGTGTGTGTGTGTGTGTGTGTGTGTATGCTGCCCAAAGTGAAATAGTTTTTTTTTTAAAGATATATTTTTATCACCAATTGAGGAAGCCTCAATTTCAGAATATTTTAGCATATGTTAATTTGAAGAATTTATTCAGATGTACTTATTTCTTATAGTTTTCATTTTGATGAATATAAGAAACTTTTTTTTTTTTTTTTAAACCATGATCATTTCCAACATTTAGCACTCACATTTGACCTTCGATGTGTAAGTTTACAAATTTTCTTTAGGTTTGCCAGGATTTAAATTCTTTCTCTTTAGTGCCAGTTTTTTTTTTTTTTAATTCTTGGGTAATGAAAATACTTTTCCTTAAATGGGCTAGGTATCTGCTATTACTTTTAAACAAACAAACAGACAAACAAAAATTATGAGAGGCTGGGAGGGAAACTTATAACCTTAACATTCACTTTATAAGATAATTATAACTTCTATTTTCCTTTTAAAGCATAAGCAGGACAAGGTAAGGGTTAATAGGAAGTAGACTCAAAATAGTTTTAGATCTAATGTAAGTTACTTGAGTTATTGGCACAAGATTTTGAGCTCTTATTAGTCTCAAGAGATTAAAAAAATGTATCTGAGATACTCTGAATATTAGACACTAGTCATAGGAAGGTACAAGAACCTGAAATGTGTTAGAAATATAATTCAAGTCAAGTAAATCATTATTGGGAAGCACTGTTGTAGATAACAGCTGACCCTGAGCATTTTCAAGGTACCAGGCACTGCTATGGTAATTGCTTTATATTTTAAACCAATTTAATCTGCATAGCACCTCTCTGAGGTGACATTATTAATACAACCCCCTTTTTAAAATAAAAAACAAAAACATTCTTATTGATTTTTAGAGAGAAAGGAAGGGGCAGAGAGAGAGAGAGAGACATTGATGTGAGCGTGAATCAGCCATTGGCTGCCTCCTGCACACCTCTTACTGGGGAACAAGTCCTCAATCCAGGCAGGTACCCTGACCAAGAATTGAAATGACAACCTTTTGGTGCACTGAATGGCACATCACCAATAGAACCAC